GTTTCAGGGTTGAGCGGGATTCACGCGAAACCACCATCCATCATGGAGGTGCCGAGCGGGGCGGCGCCAAACTTGCTCCTCGCCATGAATTATTGACGAAGCTCGGCGGCAACACGACACGTTCCGGCGGCGCGAGGGCCGCCTGCGCGCGGTACCTGGGTAAAACCAGGTCACACTCTGCACACCTGACCAGCTCTCTATAGCCGGGTGGAAGGGTCATGACGACAAACCCACGGGAATCTAGATTTCAGGGGAGAGCCTTACGTTGTTTCAGACAACGGTATAAAGCGAAATGAATTTTACCTGCGATGCCCCCATTTTTACATCTCCGCTTGATAAGTGTACAGACAAAAGATCAACGAATGATATTGTGAATACCGAAAATACATGGATTGATTTACTGCTAAATAAATGTTGATGGGTTAGTTTTTCGGGTCAATTCTTTTTCAACTCATCACATTTCTGGAGAAGCCGAATCCTCTCGCATTTGTAGTGAGATCATGCATAGACATCTACAATAGTATGTACTTTTTTATCTGTACGTAAATAGCATATAAAATCTTACAATGAATATTTACCTAAAAAAACATGCAAAGAAAAATCGATTGCAAAAATGAAAGGAAAGTGGACATCAGGAAATTTGTACCGTCGTTTCTTTGTCTCTATGTTTGTTGTGTTATGTTTTGTTCAATACGTTGATGGATGGAAATGACACCACACATTATGGTAAGAACAATGTGTGTACATGATGGGAGTTCAAGAGGTATTTGTTTGTAAACAATAAGTATCGAACATCGAGTGATTTCCTTTGTTCTGCTCTTTTCAGACAGAAGAGTATCATTGCTCTATACCATATATCACACGTCAAGGACATTTTGCTATTTCACTGGACCTTCTGTAAACGAAATAAACGTGTTACAATCATCTTTCAAGACCTTCTTTATATAGTACCCATCCTTGGGCGATTAATCTTCACACAATATGCTTTTATTGTTATGATGGGGCTTGTATTCAATGTATTGTATGGAAAATTATGTCAGTGCTACTTTTATCACGTTGGGAGCCTTCGTCTGGGACACAGAAGGAATAAAAGACAGCACATTTTATTACGCGAAATGTTTGTATATTTCCATAAAGTCCGATTCATATTTACGAAACACAGAATGTGGGACTATCGTATTCTTGTTTAATAGGATGGAATTTGCAGGTCTCTTGAATGGCTAGATAAAGGATATTACCTCGAACAAAATTCAACCTTCAAATTCTCATGCATTCCAATGTACGACTGTATCTGAATACCAAATGAGAATTGAACGCTGCCTTTCTTGTGTGTACAGAGAATATTAGCTCTTATTTCCCGCTTTGTTCTTGTCACTAGACCCGACGGTTCCTCTGTGCGCCCTTCCTGTCCGTCTGTTCCCTAAGACACCCTGATCTCAGCCAACCCTCCCCTGGCTAGGCTGCTACGCAAACACGGTAGTCCGCCGATTGTTCCTCCATTATCCACGTCATTGGCGTATTACCTTCCCTGCCGCCCCGGGCTGTAAGAGATGCCCGCAAATAGAGCCTGGCGACCGCCGGTCTTTACTGCCAGCAATCGGCGCTCTTTTGGCGTGCTGAACTGTGGCCCGGGGGCGAGCTAGCCGCCTCTCCATTGGCCGAGCCGCCTGTCTCTACAGATGTCCGACATCCTATACTGCAAATCTCTCCTCCTCGCCGGGCGTGATCAAGATGCGGCAGGATGATAAAGGTGTATCTTCTCCACGAGCTAATCCTCGGGAAAATAAATTTGTATAATCTTTCACTTCCACGCCACATTCGTCACACCGGCGCTATAAAGACGGGGATAATATTTCTGAAACCCGCATCAATTTGGGACGACACTTTTCCCACCGTGAATAATGACGCTGCGGTGTGCTGTAGGGCAAATAAAATTCTTCCGCATAAAATCTAAGCCTCGCGGGCTGACTGCAGTCTAACAACGGCTTTCTTGTTGATTTTGTAAGACAAGGGGGTTACAAATGACCGGAATTCTTCACAAATAAACGCCTCTTGTTTGACAGTAAGGAACCGGCTTCTAGGATATGACTTACGACCGTTCTAGAGGTACGACCTATGAACTCAAATAGCGTATAATGCAATATTCGCCAGACTATACAAGCCTGTGAATATCTCTAAACGCCAAGCGGCGTGACAAGAATATACATGTAGGTTAGTATCTAAACAGACAGGCGACAAGACGAAATATTTTAGAAGGGAATTCGCTTTTATTTCAATGCGATCACTCCCCTGCTAAAAAGCCGCTGACGTAGTCAACGTCGGCCATACATCTTTATATATATGTACATATACAAAGTCAATAAATAATGCCACTGAGATATGACCGGACAAGGTTCTCTACACAAGAAACTCCGTTGAGAGACCGGGTGGTGAATGTAGGAGACAGATAAAGAAGCTGTGCAATGATCGTTATGTCCGCCATCTAACATTTTCACTGCTTAAATCTCACAGAGACTTTCTCTCTTGTTATTCTGGTCTACTGCCACAACTCCTTAATCGCCCCCCTCCCTCCCCTTTTTCAAGACATGACAATGCAAGCACAGACGATCAACATGGACACAATAAAATATACAAGCAACGTAAACTTGCTGGACGGACTGTTGTCTGGGGAAAACAGTGATATAACGGAAGGTTTCACCATCAGATTGAATGACAGAAAGTATCAATGTTCTCGATATTGTTTGGCCAAATCTGCTAATGATAAGAACAACGTACTCAATAGTTGTATCGACTCAGAATAGTTAACAACTTTCCGTTTTTGTAAGCTCAAAGTATGTAATCGGGAACGTTTATAGCGAATCTTTGTAAAAATAGAGTCCGTGTAAAACTAGAACTGTTTCCCGACGCTAAAGTCTCATGTTTTGCATGGCGGTTGAGTTGGTAATGGTGTGGATTTCTATCTCAACATATCGTGGTCGAGCTAGCGGGAACAGTGGTCGTTGGAAGGAATCAGTTCTCTGAGACAAGATGAGCAAAAAATGGCGGCAAAGTTTGAAGCCCTGGCAATAGGGCAGTCTGAACGTTTGAATATAGCCGTGTTTCTTTTTTGTGACCTTCCTCCAACACACTCATTCCTCAAGCTCACTGTCATGAAGAAGAAGAAGTCAAGAACAGATCTTCAAACTGAATATTTACACATAAGAAACGATATGCCTCTCTCCGTAACTGTATGTGGTTACTTTATCATCACCGTGGAGGAAGCGGTCACAACGATATCAGCTGGTCGTCTTTAGCAGTGCCTCCTGAGACTAAAACTCACATTTAATATGGTGGAACCTCAAAAGATATTTTTGTTATTGGAAGAATGCTTGACAGATGAAGGCCTGGTTGCAACCTCTCACTGTGCTGGGCAACGAAGACAACACGACCATCATGTTTCCACGCAAAGATCGGACAGACAGTAGAAAAAACGGGAGTATGGCTGTATCGCACAAGTCATTTTTTTTACTAAATCATTTTTGGCGCAGCTTTATATGCCCGTCCCCGTCACGTATACGAAGATCCTGGCCGGCAGGTGGTTAGGTACAGGTCACCGGGTTAGGAGGACTGGCTCCGACGGGCATCTCTGGTCCTCCCGGCGGGGGCACACCGGGTCCGTTCCCGTTAGCTTCGCTAGGTCCTCCCGGAGCCGCCATCCCGGGCCCGGGCTGTGAGGTCGGGACATTTCCACTGTTGTGGTCGAACGAACTTACCTGCAGGTCAACACAAGAAGAGAAGAGCATGCGGCATTTTGAATAATTCAGTTATCTCCAAGTCAGTTTTACTTCTATTTAACTTCGTGTCCCATAAGTACACATACACACGTACGTGTGGGGTGGAAGCGGGGAGATAGGGCGTGTTTGTTCTCTAATTGAGCCCTGCCCACCCAGTGAACTACATGACCTGTGCAAGCACACCTATCTCTGTCTTATCTTCCCTTACCAGACATGTGATGCCCTACTGACAGTCACAGGCGATAAAAACCAAACAAACGCCAAACACAGACATAATCTAGACGCTATGATGTTACAATTATGCCGCATATACATACTAGTACTATACATCCACATACTAATTACCATCTGATTGACTATAGCTTGGATTGTATTGTATTAAGTGGAAAACTACGGGGTGAACCATGGCGAAGGAAAGAGTGAACCCATCTCTTTCGCGTGACGGCACAATGTGAGATTCCTTTCCAATCAGCAGTGCCGTCGTCTGAGTCTCATCTCTCGTGCACAGAGATTACAGTGATGTAATTTCCAAAGGCCATGATCATTACTGAACGTCACGACTTCGCTATACGTCATACAGGTGGCGAAAGGTTGTCTCTACAGGCATGTTCAAAGTTTTCTTTTTTCTTTCTTTCTCCTATCGCGGAAAATTTTGTGATCAGAAAAATGACTCTCAATTAGAGAGAGCTTGCCCACCGGCCTTGAAGACTACACGGGTTGCACTTTGGCAAAGGTTGTTCTCCCATGTTGAAAGGATTTGAGATGAGATTGTAGGTTTGGAAATCACGACCTTTTGTCAATGTATTCCCGAATGTGAAATGTTCTGACATTGATCTAACTCTTGTTTCCAACTGTGCCCAACTTGTGAGAAAGTAGAAGCATGCAACTTTGGATTTGTATTAAAGGGTATCGCACCGGAGTATGACTGTGAAAGCAACTTTGGATTTGTTAAAGGGTATCGTACCGGAGTATGACTGTGTGGATGGAGGGTCAGTACCATCATGCCTCCCCCACATGGTAGCTGAGCGTGGACATCCCCGGATTTCTACACATGAGTACAAGGGCACAGTAAGAGCTCAGCACATGCCTAGCATTGTGATTATCAAATCCGCATTTCAATATGATACCCCGAACCATTGGGATGATAATTTGAATAAATAGCATTGTCAATAGCAATGTTGGGCTGGCGGTTGAAATTTGACGCGGACAACGTATAATATACTATTGGGCTGATTCGTACGGAGTTGGGACATTCATTTTCAGCAGATCAAGCTACCAATACGACAGTTTACATTGAAAGGTAAATCGTAAAGCGCAGTCGCCTTAAACATAATTTGTCCGGTGTTTAGTATGTTATAAATGTTGCTTATGTAGAAATCAAGACATCAAAGTACGCGCATTTCGTGAGAACCGCACATTTACCTGTGCTAGTCCATCACGAAGCCAACTTAAATCATGTAAAATCGCGACCTGACAGCTAGAAAATAAAGAAAGCCAGAAAAAAGCCACTACTCTGCCCACAACTCGGTACCGAAACTCTGCCCATTATTATTCACCGACCAGTTATACAAGGGTCTAAAAATTAAGAAGGTGGAGGATAACAGAAAGTGTCTCACCAACTGTTGAAAGGCGGGCTGTTCTATATCACTTTGCAAGGCGAAGTCGCTGAGAGCTTTCCATGGCGGTGGTTGTTGGTAACTCTGTACTTCTACGGGGTTGGCCTGCATCTGGCTCTCGTGTCTGACGGGCTCCTGCGCCACCATGGGCACGCCGTTCAGCCGCCCGATCCCCGACATGCCGTTAGGGCTGGCCGTCTGCGGAGAGAAGGTTAGTCCGTGGTGAGAAGCTATCGTGCGACAGTGGAAAAACAACAACACACACTGAGGGTCGGAGGGGATGGAAAAACAACAACTGAATTTCATGAAAAAAGGCATTTTTACTGATCGCAGAATTGACAATTTTGATAAATTTGAGAAATAGTAATCATCAGATGATTATGAGTGGGTGCTGTTAAAAAAAACAACAAAATTTGAGTGCGGTCTATTTCTCTCTCTCTCTCCTTCTCCTCTCTTTCACAAGGGTTATGGGACGTTGACATTCACACTGACACACTACTACATGGTACAACACAACACAGACGAGTTGGAGAAGGGTTTTAAACAAGTCGTACTACAACCAACAACAAGTGTTTAACATTTGTTGTTGTTGCTGCTGCTGTTGTTGTTGGAGGAATGGGAAGGGGTCCGCATATGTGTACAGATGCTCTGCAGTATCTGTTGTTGATGATATGATTTTTTCTATAATAATGGTGAAATGATATGAGCATGAAGACATATGCTTTGATGACGGGTACATGTTTTTATAACGTGCGGTTCTACACACTAGTACAACGTGTTCTTGTATTTACCATGTCATCGGGTAGCGTGTCCCACACGATAGAGTCTGAAGAAAGGTCCTGCAAAAACGAAGATCATACAAAAAACTTTTAACATTTTTTACATCGGCTTTCCTCGAGCCAAATGAAATTTTAAGTACAGAAGAACAAAAACAAAAATCCACAACATCGGAGCATTTTTGACAGACACTGCAAAGCGTCTGCAGAATTAATACATAATATGTACAAGTTAATGCTGTTATTGTTAAGGTTATTAAGATGCAACGCAAGATACAACACACTAAGGTAGGGGATATATGATAGGACTTATTGTATGACAGTGTCACGGAAACGGATTAAGTGGTACGTACAAGGTTGGCTTCCATAAAACCCTCAAAACCATCGAAACAATAAGGAACATTAATCATTCTGATGAAGCGTCTGTCGTTCAACTTTCTAGCTAGAACACCTTGCAATGCAATGGTCTTAACTTGCTCTGAAACATAAATACTGTTTTCCACTCAAGTAACAAAAGTTTCTCACGAGGAAATTTACCTTACGTGATGCTACACAATTTAGATATTTTCCTAGTTGTCCATGAATTCACAAGAGAAAGATATAGAAAGCAGGGAGTCACATTCCGTAACCCTATAAGCCTTGTCACCTCCCATGTAGGTTTGTAAAGCATGTCGTTACCAAGGTCGCACTAAGAACTGTACATCCAGACAAGAACAAGAACAGTAGACTACACTCGGATAGAAATCCGAACTCCACGCACGCACAAACTTGCAACAAAACCGTAAAAGTCGGTCCTCCAGTGGGGGTCAAATGATCCCGTCAAGGTCAAATTGAACAATAAAACGGTCATCAACGCATCGGTCGTCACCACTGCCTCATCATATCGACCCCGGCTCACGGTTTTTAACGAGTTCTGATATGTCCTAGTCGCTGTGTGCACTCGTCATTCCTTTATTTTCAACTCACAGTCAAACAGAATGCATCCCTAGTCTTCTGCGTACATGTAAACACTGTGCATCTTTTGTACGGTATTATGAAACATCGTACTTTTAACAAGTAAACAGCTATCGCTCTGTGAACAGTTAACGTCCGGGCGTTGATCTCGCACAGGCATAGGAAAAAATGACGAAGAATCGGACGAAACGAAGAAAAAAGCACTTTCAATATGTACTTGAAAACCTAACGAAGAAAGAAAACATTTCAGATGACTTCGCACGAAAATCTCTTTCTACATTCCTTAAGTTACATATGAAGGTACAAAATATATTTTGGCAAGGAATATTGTTAGAAACGGCGGAATCTAACATGTTATTTTCATGAAGATTTCAAAGCCGTTCTGTGATGTGGGTAAGAATTCGGGCGCGCGAGCTCTACCTGCTAAACGTACTCGTACCCCGTACCAGAGCGTTTCACCGTACGAAAACCACGGTTGCCAAGTACAGGTTTATCCCAAAGAAACATATATACACAAGGACAGCAGTTGTGGGGATAAAATTCAATTTCAAGCAATACTTGAATACGTGATTACAAGGAGTGGTGAGAAATACGAATCATGTTTAAAGCATCAAGACGGCAAAATATCAGCCACAGAAATGTCCGACCTTTGGCATCTCACGAGAGTTGGGATGTGGAAGTCGCTCAGCGGGCACGTTCAAGTGTTACATATCGTCACAGGGGGGAACACGCTCCTTCTATTAGCAAACATCGCCGACCTATCTATCCACAGATACACATAGTCTCAATAAAAAGTCTAGGTACTGAAAAATTAGGACATGAAATGACCAAATGTTGTTCATTTGTCCCCATTTTGGAACCTTCCTACTTGCTAGGTATGATCTGTCCATTTTCTACAAACCGTTACAGTACCGCTACTGCACAGTGTTTGCTGGATCGTTTGGCGTAACGGTTTCTGGTGTTACTTTAAAACGAAAATATCTCTAATTTTAGAAAAATGTGATCTTTCATTCCTGTACAATACATGATTTTACGATGAAACAAAGTCTCAATTCTCAACACTCCTGTATAAAATATTCATATTCAAAACATATCTCATGGTTGAAAAGAGAAAAATATAAATGTAGTCATATTTTTTCGGTTATTACCGTCATTAATCATGACTACAGTAAATTACTACCTCACACTAGTAGTGAGTGCCCATTAAAGTACGGGCGAATTTATAACAGATGAATAAATAACACAGTTTTCTGTTCATTGTCCCAAAATAGCTATGCGACGATTGCTACCTTGGTTTTACTGTCCTATTTTGTTATATAAATGAAGTTGACATTACGTTGCGAAGAAGTTGCGCAACGTTCTCAAGCAAAAGCAGCTTTAATTTGTTCTACTAACTTAGAAGATTTTTTTCACAGATTGCGCGGAACAAGTCCAGACCGCTGGGTTTCCAATTTAGGTCCTTCTAAACACCACATTACGCCGGGGCCATTATTCAAGGACAAAACGTCGCAATTGAAAGTACCAAAATGATAATGGCGGGATTATAGACGTGTTTAAGGCTTAATAGCAGCTGCACGGGCTAGCCAAGGGCAAAATGTTGTACCGAAGTATCACGGCGAAATGCAAACAAAGGTGAGCCTTAACCCAGTGACAGGTGGACCGGGTGAGGATAGGTTTGTAACGGTCAGGAACGGTACTTAGGCAAAACATTTCCAATGGTCCCAACAAGACGCCGAGACCCGATAGCCGTTAGAATCTTTACACCGTGTTTATACTGTCACCAGATACGTCCTGATCACTAACGGTACACAAGATACCGGTGTACAGTTCATCAACTCGGGCCGATATAGATTAACGTTTTTTATGTCGACTTTTTTTCCTCTTCGTTTCTGAAAGCCCGACTTGCTTTAACAACTAAATGGAAACATTGCAGGTTCTAGTCAAGTTGCAAAATGCACCCAAAATAAATTGTAATGTGTATGAAAGTACGGAGGTGGTATAATACACTAGATAATGTATTAGGTCGTCAACGTCAAGACGAATATCGGATCTGTACGTTTTAAACATCTTTCATACAAATCTTCCTAACATTTTGGGAGAAAATGCGGCCCGCGTCTGAGTGAAATAAAGGCACGGTTACATTCGTCTAACGATCTTTGTCGTATGATTTTCAGAGAGGTTGTTGTAGAAACGGCCGTCGATAAGTATTTATGGCAACCTTTTTTTCTGTCACAAGACAGTTGTAATTTTGTACGATACTTCCACGACAGTCGTAAGAGTGTCCTAATTTTCCTGTCGTAGATCTAAACTGTTAAACCGCTCGATGAATGTGAGCAGCCATGTTGGAGCCGAAGCGCCCGTGTAGCTCTAGCTCGGCATCTCGTTTCGAAACTCTAGAAGCTGCAGGTGACAAAGGACAACTGATGGGGTGTAAAGTAGGCACCGTTGTACTGCTAACCAGTGTACATAAACCGTACTTAGGGATGACATGATTCCGTAAGGACATCACAGGGAACATTTGTTGTTTTAAACAGAGAAAGCAAAGAAAGTTGTCAGGACCTGAGCAAACCAAGTTTATCAGTCCGGTATGGCCGCCGCGAGCCTGTTTGACAGGTGGATCCATAACACATTCTGGAGCAACAACACTGCGTAGTAACAACGCTATGTTTTTCGTGGGTGTAGATTCTTGCTCAGATTAAGTTCAGATATTTTCCTCTGAGACAAAACCTACACTTAATCTCGTTAACCTATTTCTTACACTGACTGGTGTTTACATTTCGATCATACAAACTGCCCATGGAATTTTACCTCACTACCGACATGTATGACTGTAGGGCGCGTTCCTGGACGTTGGTTGTTGCTATTACCCGGATGTCACAGAACGATAACAAAAATTAATCAGGAATTTGCCGCACTTTGCGCTGTTTGTTTTGCTCGCATATAAACCAATGAGATTTCTCGTTTCGACGTTGATTGGTTTCGAAGTGTACATCATTACAAACGCGTACCGGTCTTGTTTGTATTAGATGTTTGTAGCTAGGAGATTATCCATACATATTTTGCTTTAAAAACAGCATAAAGCAGCTAAATTTTCTCTAGATTTTTTCTCACCAAAAACTTACCAGAACAGATATAGTTGTTAAAAGACATCTGGCAGCAAAATTATACGTTTTCTGCACGGAAATCGCGAACGATGGTCCCGAAAACAGCCTGCGGCGCGTCCCTCATTTCCCATCGGGATCGCAGTCCGAACCGGCCGGTAACCAATTTGTACTACATTTTACCTCACAGCTTCTTATACCACAGCAAATCAGTGTACTGCTTTTTTGTCATCGACACAACACGACAGGTGACCAATGTAGAACAAACAAGGTTACGTGTGATGTTTCCCAACCCGGCTAGAGGTATATTATAACGTCGTAACATGTTGTCACCGAAAAACAACTATATTTCTATCGGACTCCATACGGGAGGAACAAAGAATTTCCGTCCGTAATGTCCCAGGGTACCAGTATAGCAGTTGCGCTCTGGACAAAGCCACACAAATTGACTTTATTCTAATATATGATGTCGAATGGCTGGCTTCAGCTCGTCTGTCCTAACAGGAGGGGGAATCAGACGTGCGGAGAGCATCTCATTATTTCCCATTTTAGCTAAGACTTCGGCATACAGCTAGCCACTTATGCGTTATCCCCGTATTTATACAGACGCCACTACGGCATATGCTCCCGTCCGCGCACCCATTTTTCTTCCCGCTAGTGGGACGGGGGGAGGAATTATACCGGGGAAAGACAAGAAAGCGGGGGAATTGGCCTAATTCAATCCATCGTCTGCCCATCTGTTCACTTCAGGCTTTATCAAGTTTCCCGAGCTGTGAAACACAAATCCTTTTCCGCGAAACGAATAGGTCCATTTCAAGGCTGGCTGGGCCCGTTGTGCGCCGTTCTTTGGGGGTGGTGACACCGGTGACTGCGGCATTTGATGGCCGTGTGCTGCACAAGACGGGGCGAACATTATGTCCTGAGGGCTACTGCATGCCCCATCTGCGCAACTATTGCCAAAAAGGACGCACAATGTAAGGCCAGGGATGAACCAATTTTAGGGATGAGTAAGCCCTATAGTAACACAGGACCTGGGGTGACAAGTGTTAAGTTAACATTTTCAAGAAAAAACAACTCAAAATGTTGCCCCAAATATTTCAGGCCGCGCCATGTTAAAACATGCTGGCATGTGTTATTGTTCATTGTTTTTATTCCTCCAGGTGCAAAAAAATTACCCTGGGTTATTCTTTATCTTAGCCTTTGTCGTTGGTGTTTCTCGGTCCAAAACTTCACTCCTTTACAGTGATGACAAAGTCGCCCGTTTATCGTAAAAAAACCCAACCCTGCCCCGACTTGGTAGCTACTGATCGCCCAGGACCGCCCTTAACACAACCGTGCGCTAACAAGCCGCCAACATTTCTGTGACATCAGATTGATTCATCGATAAGAACGGCTGTTAGGTCCCACCCAGACCCACGCACGCCAACCTCGGGTCTAAGTGATTCTTTAGTTTCTCTCTGATGAAATAGTTTATGGGTTTTTCATTAGCCTGGCCGCCATTTGCGGTATAATTAGAATACGATGAAGTTACAAGTACTCGGAGATGACCTTTCTGTTCATGGTCACTTGTCTAATGCCAGAATAAGAGAGCATTCTTAAAGATTTGAATCAGTCTGCTGACAAGACGTCGTCTATGAAAAGGTAAGGAGGCGTCTGGTTTCTTTTGCTTGTGTTTGCACGAACAAATCGTATGCACACCTGTATAAAGGTAAAGGTCAACTGTCTAGGACAGGATGTTGTCTACTTTTGGAGACTTTGCTGCTCGATTACATTCTTAAAGTCTACCGTAAAGACCACTGAAATGTTTGTATTTCTTGGTCTTTCCCTTCCTATGCTATCAAGTTTGACAAACATTTCCAAATCATGGAATATTAACCAATGTGCCCGGAACTAGTTAGTTAATTTCAGGTTATTAACCCCTAGTTATTAACTAGAACTAACCGCCATGGCGTCCTGTGGCTTCATTGAAAAGGTATGAAATCGGATATGAAATCTGACAAACAACTTTGAGCAAAATCCCATCTGGAGGCTTTGTTTTCAAATTTCCGTATTTCTGTTGGAGTGTATCATGTGTCTTAAACAGGAAAAACACCACCTTACATATATTATCAGTGACCCCACATGGATATGCATGTATACGAAGTGACTGTGAGTGAGCAAGACCCATCTCTCAAAATTTACAGTTTTTATTTCGACAAATCGTGGCATCTTTCTTAATTTGCACCTAGAACCTAGAAAGATTTTGACAATAATTTGGGAATCTACTATTTATCTACTAGTGCCGAGTTCGTGCTTTCTACGAGAACAACATACTCCACCGTGCATACTCAGTTGCTTTGGTAGACTTGTATATGAAAATCTACTTCCGTGTCCTGTTTAGAGATAGAGGCTATTGAATAATAATATGATCCCGTCCGTACAGAAGGCGATGTGCGCCCGAACATATTGAAGTAGTAGCGCGAGACGACCCCTGTCCGCAGATACATGTTTTCCTGATGAAGACTAAGAGCCTACAGACAGGTGACACATTGAGCGCCAGACAAAAGAAAGTGACGAATGGATTCGTCGCAAAGTGGCGAGACCGAACATACGACCTTCACTCCTAGGTTGCAAATGAGAGTTGTGCCCCCGGACAACGGCACTTCCTACCGCCGCCACCTGGCCGCTGACATTGCCGGTAGCATTCGAGGTACATCCCTAACGGATCTCGAGCATTCTTACAAGTCCGAGTAGCTAGTAAGAGAATCTCATGCTGCAAATCTCCAGCTATGTACCGATGACCAAAAGCTGTAATGACATGGACCGAAAGGCTACGCAAGTTTAGATGTGTATTTGTAACCGCACTCACCTGTTTTGAAGCTTGTTCTTGCATCTGTTTCATGAGGATAGATTTCTTTTTGTCTTTACATCGTTTGTTCTGGAACCAGACCCTGATGACGCGGGGTGACAGGCCCGTCATCTCCACTAACTGTTCCTTCATCAACGCGTCCGGCCGCGGATTGGCCGCGTAGCAAGTCCGTAACGTGTGCAGCTGCTTTTCGTTCAAAACTGTTCTGACTCGGGTGGGTTTGTGTCCGTCTTGTTTGTGAACCTGTGGTCTTCGTTGGTCCGAGCGACCGTGGGACTCAGGGCGAGCTGGTTGTAAGTTGGAGGGGAGAGGGGGTAAAGAAAAGGTGGTCAGACAAACACAAGCACAACGGTACATCATGAAATAAACTACTTATGTATATTGTTAGCGGAGCTAAAACACACTAGTCGCGAGAAAAACATTGACAGTATTTAGCTCTTATGGTTGTCATTGTCGTAATCTTGTCTTAATCCTATGTATATTCAGAGGATACATGTAATGTGTATGTTCTTTGGGGGAGGGGGGTACGGGTGAAGGGTGACTACTCCCACAACCCCGCCCAGTGCTACTAGCCTTTCTGCGCGGTCCTGGCCACGGCACGCCGGCACGCGACTCCTGCTGCCGGGCAGGGTCAGGGAACAGTAGGAGAGCGATTTTCAACCTCTATTTCGACGTGGAGGAACAAATAAATCCTAAGAAAAAGCCGTATTCTGCGTACACTATAGCTATCAGCGGGAGGTTGCGTACGCTATGTGATAATACCAAGTACACTATTCCAGCTTAGTGGACGTCTAATGCCCTGTAACAATAGGCGTAATCTTTGGCACATAGAAGGCTTGTTGTAGGGGCAATTTCTCTGTGTAAAACTCCCTGTACACCTCTGGATGTTGTTGATAGGATTACAAATTCTCAAAGCTGATAGAAAACCCCGCTGACGATCTTATTTTATTCATATAGTGTGTTCTGTGACATATAATTTAAGAAAAAATACTAGAAGAGATCAACATTGCATGCAAAGGTTTGGGTTGAATAATGATTGAAAAAAAATAATGGCATGCAAAAAGAAACACACAAGAAAGGCTATATGTGGTCGCTGATTTGAGGTATTTGCTGACTACCACTGATTGTTACACACATATAGAATAGTAACGTTTATATCAACTACACGGCAATAAAGTCGTTGTGTAGAAGTCCAAAGTCCACGGCAAGATGTTTTAGAGACAATTTTCCCTCCCTCTATGTAATCACTTTTTATAGAAAGATTGTGGTTTGCTGGACATCAGGCCTGTACGTGTCCGCTTGGCCGGGTCAAAACTAAACTAACAATTACGCCCCACCCCACTTTCCCTCGTCAGCCAGTCGGCAGGCATGCCATCTGCTCTCCGCACCACCTGTTTGGCCTGGGTTCCGCCCGATGGTAAAGTCAACATATTAGTGCCTTATTACTCTACAAGGTACATACACACAACTCAGGATGTTTGCGTCGATATTCTGGAGGAAAGCTTGGCTTGTAGAGGCGGGTTTTAGAAACAGCTTACCTTGTATGATTACAGACACCCGACCCGTGAAATAAATGCGCTAGAATAACCTGTCTGGGAGAGTACACATTGGCTAACCACACTGACACGGACCAAACTGAATGTAGTACATGTGCCGCGGGATTTTAAAAAAATCGACTGTATTGTTCTCACTGAGACATGAAAAATGTTTCTGTCAGTTCTAGCCTCGTGTTATCAAAGAGATTTTTCTGTCAACAATTGTGGTTGACGCCGGAGCAGCCAGATGAAAAACCAACAGAGGTGACAAGGCCACGCCACGAGGATGGCTCCCATACAGTACGACTCAATCTACCGTGAATCCCAGAACACATACTTGCCACAATTACCGCTAATCAGCTTGTCAGCGAAACGGTACGACGCGAACATTTTTCATCATCGCTACAAGGCCTCCCCCATTTTCACTCCAACTAATTTTCTGGCATAGCCCGCGGGCTCTGCACGGGTAATTTGGACGGTGTTCCGTGGTCTGAAAATGCGCGGCGCAAGCTGTCGCGCACCGGGGGTACCCATGGCCTGCAGCTATACATCTGTAGTCCGGCTATAGAACTGACGGGACCCACCTGTCCACGACGACTTCTTTATCTCTTTTTTACTCGTGACTACAGTAACAACAATCCTGGAAATTTCCGCACTGAGAAATTTATGAACGTTACGGGCACTTTTATATAAGATATAACCAACCTTGTATGCATGCTTGTCTGTGCCATTCAATAATTACTAAGACCATGTATTTTTTCCAGCAAGGTAGGAATGGTTTGCGTGAATTTTAAGGTTTTTCCATTCCGGGGCTTACGGCACACTCTAGCCAGGACCTACATCGGGACGGGCCGGGCCTAATCGCTGAACTAACGCCGGTGGTGGACGCACCAGACGCCGCGTTGATTACGTGTACGCCACTACAGCCAGCTAGTCCCCGAAATTACCCCTCTCCAATCAAAATAAAAAGTGGCACTCCTAGCCGAAGAGTGGTCTCAATCCCCTGTCGAGTGCGGCATCTACATAGAGAGATTACCGAGCACCACGCCAGATTTTTAAACAACAGCCCGAAAAGAAAAAAAATCCTCAGTCCAAGTTTAAGTGTTTGTAATTTCCAACCACGTGCATTTCAAACGTGCACCGCTCCATAAATGGAAGATGACTAGTTAACTCACTTCTAGCTACACACTTTTGAACTAGTGGTCACCTCACTAAACGCCGCACATACTCAAGTTTACATTAACGTTTTAAAACGTAGATGCGAAGATAGCGCGTTGTATGGGGTCAGGTTTAGGCTAATGTGCATGTATGTAAAGATCGCCTGATCCCATTAACTACAGTACACCTTACAGCTACCTGTGCTATGTTGTTGAGTAGAACGGTGCAGTGATAGCTGTACTTACTTGCCATTTCGAGGTCGGTACTTCCCAGACTGGCTCTACCGTTAGAATCCACATTGTTTGACGCCCTCTCCAAGACCTCGTGGTCGGCCTTACAGAACAGACCGTCCTCCCTGAGCGCGAACTCGTCCCCGGGAATAAGCTGCCGGCTGCACGCCACGCAACGAAAACAGTCTATGTGGTATATCTTGTTCCTCGCGCGCATAACGAAGTCGTTCTTGGTGAAACCTAGGCTGCACTTGGCGCACTTGGTTCCGAATAACCTGCAAATAGAAGGGAAACGACTTTGCTGTCATATGTTCTGACCAAAAACATAAAGTTTGTATGTACTCATATTTCAACACGTTCGGTATTCATGAATGATACACCTTCAGTATAGGCTCTGTCCCATGACAGCAGTGCTACTCGGGTGTCTCCCGGCACCACAGTAACCTACAGCCGTGTACCGGTAGGACTAAAATCATCCCAAAAGCACGCTGTCATTTCTCGAGCTACCAGTCAAACAGGCATGGTCTCTATAATCGATTGTACGGGAGTGTATCCATATACAAGGACTGAATGGCACAGCATGTGTAACGACGCATTGAGGCTAATTCAGACTATGCATGTACGGGCCAGGTGGAATAACACAGAGGTCATCACAACCTGAGAGGCCAGGGACAATAGCTGACCATAGAACCACACCGGCCAGGTTACACCGAACACTGAGTTCAGACTGGAAAAACTCTTGCCGTCCAGTCTGCAGATAGACGTGTTCCTGACCTAATCTGTTGTTGATTTTTCTAAACGATGCCGTCTTTTGGAGACGGGATTAGCTCTGAGTGTCTACGGGACAGGTGCAAGGATTCACCCGAAGAACGTTCTAAGACACTACGGTGCGCGGAAGCGCAGAACTGCTTATACCCACGTTGGATTACGTTGTTGTAATACACCGATTTTTGGGAACAAATTATTTCTGCAAGCTTTTTTCAGAAACAGTTTCTGTGGAGGGGGATTATAAGTGAGCTGGTTTACTTGGTTACACGAGCCTAGCGTTACAGATTAAGGGAGCCAATATTTGAGCATCAAAAGTCGAGATTTGTCGAGCGAGCATTTCTCGTAAACAAATCCGGCACACGTTTCTTCCCCAGTCAGATTCCTCGCAAAAATGTGTTTACAAAATGTTGGAAATAGAGAAGAAAGCAGTCTGCATAATTTTCATAGCACCGGTAGCATTCGTAGTTTGACAAATGAGAAAACAATGATGCTTTGTTGATGTCTAAGTGCGGTACATTTGACGTACGCTGAACTACCGTGCACGTTATAAGCAATAGGCACAAACATGTTTTGCGCTCTCTCCTATTTTCCGACGCAGGTCTAAATATTACGTTTCCAGACAAAATTATTGGTACAACAAGAGCCGTATTCTCTGCGCTGCTCTGAATAGGAATCAAACTACATTGTATGTCTTTGTTTTTTGTTTAGCACACATTGGAGCTGTCAACAAGTGAGCGATGGGGTCGTTTTTCTCAGTATCCTTTCCATCAACCAGTGAAGGTTTTAGAGAAGATTCGGTATAAGTCCAACAATCCTGTCTCCCGAGACCCGATCAGTAGGCTATCTAGGTGGTAAATGTGGTTGTACTTAAAAACCTCAGATATCTTCTTTTGCAAAAGACTTTCTGGATATCAAAGGAAATTGTACTGTCCAGCTTTCGGTACAGATGGTCACCGGTAGGTTTCATCATCAACTTTTGTGTTATGATAATCAGGCCCAATAAAATGAATTTGTCCCTCTCTCCAACCGGTGTTCACATACATAGACAGGTGGGTCATCAGGCCAAGAACTAAAAACTACATAAAAACGTCAAGTGATTATTCATGTGACTGAGCCAAAAAATACCGGAAGAACGCAATGTTATAAGCAACGTAAAGAATAAAGACATAGAATCGTGTAAGGTTAGTTTACGTAAAGTTGACCTATTGATGTGGACCTCTAATTTTCTGTATGTGTACAATAAACGTTGCAGGGACAAAACAGAAGCTAAGCTATCGGTTGATCTAGGAGCCTATCAATGCGGTATGTGTGTATAGGGCGGGGGAGGGGGGCATTCTCCGGGTGTAGGGCCGGTGTGGCATCAAGCACTGGCATAACACAGATACGGTCAGTTTTGTAACACATTAGTAGGGGTGCGTTACGATATCACTGGAACCCAAAACCTCAGTAAACCCCGCCTCGGCGTGTAACAGCGTGATTAGTGGAAAACCCACATGTGTGTTTTTCTTCATTTACATGCTGTGCGTTTGAGGTACGCCTTGTCACGGAAGAATGCAGTAAATCATATATAAAAACGACATCACTTCAACAACAATATCCACTTCGTATAGGTGTGTGTGAGCATACACTACAGTGCACTAGATAAAAATTTTAACGAAATATCATCACCTTTCATATGATGTATTATTCCTTTTCAGAAGGACTACTTTCACACAAAAATCAAACTGAACAACACGCTAGTTAGTATATATGTATACACAGGTGTATGTGTATAAAAGTAATAAAGTTGTAGACCTCACCTTACGTAGCACCTTTTACAGTACGTTTTGCCGTCCCTCACGAAGCAAGTGCAGGTTTCGTCTAGGTACTGGTTGCAGTCGGAGCACTTGAGGCAGGCGGCGTGCCACTCCAGGTCGGGCGCCACCCGGAGGATGTACTGGTCGTGGATGTGCGACCCGCATCCCACACACATGGCATTACGGCGATTTTCTGGTTTAAACGTGTGTGAGGAAGACAGGAGACAGTGTTAAGACACTTCAACAATAAACGTAAACCTAGCTACTTTGCTGCAACTGAATGGTCTTAACACATAGGGCAGGTAGGGCAAGGCATATGACATTTCAGGTGCTCGATTCATATACAGCTAGTAACGGCAACCGCAGGTCACGACCATGCACGCAAGTTCACATCTAGACTGTCGGACTATTCATGATTGTTGACAGCCTTGGGCAGTAAAATGACTTTTTTTAGTATGCTGTACTCCTAGAACTAAGTTGTCATGCTCGTCGTTAACCAGAAAATTTGATTTAACAGCCGTTGTTGGCAGATCACACGTAAGGCTATGAGTGAAGTCAGAAGGGTCGGTACTTTATTGCATGTTAATAACAGTGTGTGGACTGAACATCTGTATAGTCAATGTCCAGCGAACTAGTTTATCAACCCTTTGCTTTCATATCCTTTGCGTAATTTTCTTGTTCAGTAGATGTCACCGAAAAGACTTCCTCATTCGTAGGAAGGGTCTAACGAGAATTAATAACTTTCCCAGCAATAAACAATGCGGGTAAAGGAGAATCCCTTTGTCGTTTTTTGTCTTTTTGCGCTGACGCTGCTATCCACTTGGGGGTTCCCACAAACAATAACCTCAACATAAATCCACTTTCAATGATAAAAGAGTAAGTAATAGCCGGCGTGCTTCCTAATTGAAGTACAAGGATTCTCACGATTGTCTTGGAAGATAAGCATGCCCAGGGCCATTTTGATTACTACATGTGAGAGGGGAACCAAGTGGACTTTGCGTTGTAACTTACAGATTTGTGGGAGGGGGACTTTTTAAGCCGTGTGATATGTAGGAGTTCTGAGTACCAGAAATGTACAGGTAGCATGCTTAAGGTTTTGGTAGGTACAACAAGAACACTACCATACTCATAGCACACACACCGACATACACACTCACACGTACAGAGACAGGGCGGAGCGAACTAGCCGACCACTGACTGGAACAAATGGCATAATGACATACAATTAGTCTAACCAAACGTCACGAAACTGTCCTTTTGATCGGTCAGTCTTCGCGTCTTTCAGGTTTAAGACAGCATAAGTTTGTCTTGTAGTGTGAGCGGTAGGAGAGTTTCGTAGCATGCTGGCACATGGACAAAGCCGTTTCGCGTCTGTCAGACTACTGTGGTTCACCACTACTGGCCAGGATGATACACATATCATGTAAATTTGGTGTGTGTCCGCTGGCCCCATTGTTTGAGGGAGGTGCCATATGCCAGCACTGATCTGGGCCAGCGACAATTTTATCGAAGCAGGTGAATTATTATAGCGATTTGTGTTCAGCCAACACAGAGCCGTACAAATGTCAGTGTGCCACCCGTCTGCCTACTACCTGTACGGGCCGCTCGCAAAGTACAGGCCGTAAAAACATGCTGGGCAAACAACTACAGACGGACTTTTTTTACTCTGTAGTCTTGAAATTCTGTGTCACAACCCACTAATTTTGCTGTATATATCTACCTGCTGAGAATATATGACAACACAACGATGTGGCCCTGTGGTGCCTTGCGCCAAACAGGTCCCCGTACGACAGTACTACTACCGGTGCCCAACACCACACTACGGGCCTGGCTACCTAGGCTGCGTGGAATGTACAAGCATGGATTGGTAGAAATTTGCCGTGAACAGGACTTCTGTTTTTTACGTGTGATTTGAAGACATAGCCAAGGCGTTGAGTTGACCATAACAAGCCAGGAGTTTACGACGCCCCATACAGAGTGTACAAGTAACCAATCCACGCTGCCAGGGACAGGCACTATAGGGTATACATGTGGGTACGGTACGGACTCGGTGCGAAAGGGTCTTACTTTTGGGAGGATCGCCGGGCATCGCTGCTGACTCGATGGGTGGTGAGTGGTTCATGAGGCCGTTGGTCCTGGTGATCTCTACTCGCACCGCCAGCTCGCCCCGTCACTGCTGCCAATTCGTGTAGTCAGAATGGGTGGTCTGTACTGATAACTCGTGTGCCCAGCTGACACAAAATACTTAAAAAATTCCCAACTCTCTGGGGCGGGTAGTGCGATTGGGCACGCAGCAATTTTCTGAGCACGTGATGACGGTGACTTGAGAGACGCCTGCTGATTGGTCGTCGCCGTTCGCTCGTCGCGGGTTTTCCGTGACCCCACCAGCAATGTTTATGTGTAATCAAGAAAGGTTCTCTTTTTAACCTTCTCGGTGTAATATTTAATCGCCAGTACCTGCAATTGCATAATATAGACGGGATTAACTTGTGTCTTTGAACGGCGAAGAAACGCGTACTCTGCCATTATCAAGAACCAATACCAACACAATTTATGACATGAAATATCGGAAGTTTGGTCAGAAGGGGAAAGGTATCCCTAACGGTTTGTGCGGATGTGTATGCGACTGACGCGTTGTCTATATCGTGTCTAAAAATACATTCTTCTCATGATCTTAATCCTTTCTACACATTGACAGTTTGAGACAAACCAGAGAAGCTTGAAGTGTAAAGACGTACGTTTGTGAGGGTTATAAGAGAGGAAAAACAAAGGCTCAAAACTGGCTGAGATGGTGTCAGGTGTACAGGTGTGCTCGACACATCGTACACTACAGACCGACTGGTCGCCAAATATATGCGAGAGTGTCCGCAGCTGAGCTAACTCATGCCGAACTCTTAGCCTTTGCGGCAGGCTACCTTTAGTAAATTCCGGCCTGCGCGCATGGGGGGACGGAGTGTTGAAAACTCCGGCCCTCTCCCGAAGTGTACAAACCTGAGGTAATTAGTATGCCCGGGCCGTCGTCACCAGATTAGCCATGTTTACAGTAGGTAACGGACTGTGGTCAACTCTATGTATCCTTGTAATGAGCTTTACGCCCGCCAACTGTGAGCATCCTATTGTCAAACGTGGGGATGTGACAATTTGTTAGCGGTTCTCCGCCTCTCATTGTCTCGGGGTGTGGGACGCACCACTGTCATGTAGGGAGGGCGGAGGGGCGGGCGGGGTCCGGTATAATCCGCGGGACACTATCTGCAAGTACAAGCAGGGTAAAACATAGCGGTGTTGCCGCAACCCTGCACCACCACCGTTCTAGGTTACTGAACCGCCCCCATCAGGTTGCCAAGGACGAGATTTTTTTGAAACTCGAATGCGGCTCCAGAGAAAACTAAGTAACTTTGCAGACAGGGTCACCCCCGTCTTGTAGTCGAACCACAGCAATGATATTGAAGTAATGTTATACCAAAAGTCTTTGGGTTGTTCGAAATATACGATATAGGGTGACTTAATAATTATTCAAAATACGAAGTGGGGATCCATGTCTTCGTAGCTATGTTTGATATTATTATTAAACCAAGCCAGCTGCAGTATTTGAGATAATATGCATATGACTGGCTGCAGTATATGAATGCATGTGTTTCATGTGGTAAATGTCGACTGACTGAGGTAAGGTGGATCGCTGTGGTTCTCTTACCAATGTGCACTTTTTTCCTAATTACTTACACGACGTCTCCAAGTGCATGTGCATGTCTTAGTTCTCAGCTGCACTCCCTAAAACCTGTGAAAAACTAGTAATCAAAAGATGAGAACTTATGGCTGAACTCATGTGCCCAGGTCTTTCTAACCCGGTCGCCCGCTAGGAGAGTTCAGAGTTGGGGGTTGGGTGCGAAGTTGCACTACGAACCCTGGCCCACTATGGCCCACCAGCAAGTGGGTAATTTTTGGAACATCGAGATAAGATTAGGCGAGTCAACGAACGGTACTATTGGCGGCACACGACCACAGAATGGCCCTTACACAATCATGCTCACAACAAGTACATTGGTACAATGTAACTCAAGAGCAGATTGTTTTACTGTTTGGTTTTTGTATCAATCATGTCTGACTACTGAAAAGGGACCGGTGCGTTCACCAGCTCATAATCACAAGTAGGAGAAAGCGCGGAGAATCGTCAGCCAACAAAGGCGAGAGTGATATGTAGGGTTCATTTCTGTGCATGGTTCAGGGTATATTTTCTTGTTGTTTAAAGCTTGGCGCCAGGAAGGCCCGGCTCGGCAGCCAAGACTTTTCCGGCCGCGGTTTGGTAGTAACTCTGTAGGTGGGTTCCCACCTGTCCTCGCCCGACAGGTTGGTTGGATGGTAGCAAAGTTCACCCCGCCACCACAATCAAAGTCATCAGTACCGTTTTCGGTGAGATTGAAGCCTGTCTGGGACGCGGTGTGGATCATATACCGTCTTTTTGTGGCTCTGTCAAGTGGGTTCAGAGGTGCTGTGTACAAAAGTAGCCGAGGAGGAGGGGCGGCTGGAAAGCTCAATGCGCTCGGCGTCAGTTCTGTATGGAGTGTACATCTGAGCCCGTGACAGTCTCCACCCTGTGAGCTTGACACCAGCGGAGTCTATTGAGGTTTCTGACCATACACTGACCCTACATGGTCGCCTGTTCTTCCCGGCGCAACTTTAGCCGGCAGGGTCGGGACCTGGGCACACCGGGGCGTGTTTACGGGTGCCATGTTTATTATTCCCGCGGACTACAGGGTCAGACCTCGGCACGGATCGTCGCCAGCCCGACAGGTGAGACGGAGCGCTGGCAGGTGGGAGATCGTGCTTCGTACAGAGAGGGACCTGTCAGTGAATGGGTCTGAAGGAAGAGAATTGTTACCTGTCCTTATTCCACTTTGTTTTTGCGCGGTTTGAGCCGAGGAAGCCAAACAATTAGAGGTGGAGATACACGGTATAATGACTAGGTGCACGCCCGGCGAGGCTGAATGGGACGCAACCCGATAAGGGCCGGACCCAGACTTGCTGCCGCCACTGAGCAATCCTAAGCGGGATCCTGTTGCGATTACCTGATCAATGGGCACACAAGCGAGAGCCGGGCTATTGTGGCGTTAGACAGCGTGTTTACCTTGGCACACATTCAGCCCACAACCCATGACAATTGTTGTTTTATTTTGTGGACCCATGTTTCGGCTCCTTCCTGGCTGGGGCCTGCCTGTTCATGAGAAGCCGTCACACCGTTTCTTTTTTTTCTTCCAAGCCAGGAGAGTTTGCTCTGCGGTGACCCCGCGCACAGTCTGACAAGAAAATGCCACACACAAAACAGTACGGGCCTGAGGCTTCCACTAATTATTTTATCTACGAATCTTCACAATAGAGCAAGCCCCGCCTCCCCACACGAGCAAGCCCCTCACGCTGGTGTGGTAATCTGGTATTTGCCTACTGAAATTAGTGCGAACATGCCGTGTGTGTGGCGGGGTAGTGTAGGGAGATTTTTCTCTCAAGTTGCAAGGCACGTCCATATAACTGTGCGACCTCAGCTTGGCATGCTAAGCAAAAGCCACGACTCGAACATTGCCCTTGCGTAGTAAAGTTGTGTTCTCAAGAATGTTCGGTCCGCTTTGGGCTTCCGAGATTTAACATAGTTAGCGTTCAGAACCGTTGACACTTCGACAGAACACAATTAGCAACAGTTTCACAACAAACAACAACCTGTGAAAATCACCACCCCAACCCCAAACCTTAAATACGGGGGAACGAACTATATCATGCTTTGATATCATCATGATAAAAAGAATAAAAAGAAGAGAATAAGAATAAGATAGTTGTCGGTTTGCGAAGAAATTAACACAAATGTTTGTATACTTGATTTGAGAAAGGTCAACGCACATGGTACGTCTAAATGGATCACAAGAAGTACCACTTTTCACTATTATAAAAGAAAACATATGACTTAACCAAGAATCGTTTTATACTAAAAGTCATCACAAGCTTAACCATCTCATTTACACTAATCGAAACACACGAAGTCAAATTATTATTTCATTGTATATGATGTCCTCAACTTAATTTTCAGTTGTCCGCATCATAGTTTTGTGCAATACCTGTTACTGTACATTTTGAATAACAGTGACTTAAATATGAGTAAAATACAGCGTGCAACACACCAAACCAACCATAGCGCCTTCTACTATTCTAATGCAATAATATATATAATTTAAAACAAACATGTTCTACGTTTATCTGTTGAGAAGAAAACAGTATAACAAATATCATACGAACTGGTTCAATTACACAGAACTTCATCTGCGTCGTCAACAATCACGCCATCGATAATGCAAATAAATGTATCGAGGACAACTTCACACGCCGCGGATCATGGTGCCGACACCTAGCGGAAATGCACAGCATTGCCACTCCGAAAACTACAGAATGCCATTTCTTTCAGACAACGAAGCCGGCCGCCTGCAAGGCGTGTAAAGCGCTGCTTGCATCATCACTTTGATGCAGTCCTGACTCTTATAAAACGAGAAAATCTTTCCCTTTCGTCTATTGACTTTCTCTTGAATATAAATATCTGATACAGTACTTGAGAAAATAAACAAAGTCCCATTTGCGTAACTTCTTATATATGCAGTCTCAAATCTACTTGCAAACTTGTATGTTTAACCAAGGAGATTTAGAATCAAACCTGGCGGACAATACTTAGCTATAGGTCACTCATAGTTGTGTGACGAAAAATACCGTATTAATCAGTATGCTTGATAGTTCATGATATGTGTGATATTCAGCCTCTTATACGACATTCTACCTCGCTCGCGTAAACCTGCAACGCTTCTAGAAATGTACTCGTACGTGCTTATCAGGATATTTGACTGTGACTCATGTATAATTCAACGCTAGGAACGACATTTGTATATCTATTTGTACGAAAAAATACCGAATAAGTTCGTGTACGAAGTGTACTTACTATACACATTGTAGTCAATAATATACTCATGATGTTATTCCTATTTCTTGGTTGCTCATAGACATTGCTACTTTTTCTGTTTCATGTTCCGGAATTTCTTGGCATTTTCCCCTCAAGGCAAAACCAATCTGCAGTGGTGCCAACACCCAAACGTAATCTTTTGCCAGCTTACTCTAGGCAATTTTCCATGTGAAAAAAAACTTACAGTTCATAAGAAAAAGGCTATAAAGATTGCGATATAAATGTTTCACGATATACAACACATTTTAGCAAACAACTTTAAAACGCAGTGGTCGACTCTTTCCGATGATGTCACGAACTCTGTTTAAAGGTTTAGTA